GTATCAAACACTTTCAATCAATTAGAGATCGATAGGGTTTTGAAGTGTTTAAACAACAGGTTCTATGGCTCTCAGTTTTAGAATATACCTTTTCCACCTTTGGATTTCTGACAGGCTAATGAAACTGGGAGCTAATAGACCTCAGTTAGCTGCTACAAATTCCAAGGATTGATCACCAAAACTGGAGAAGCTGCTGGTTGAAGAAGGAAAATCTCGGATCTGGTTTTTTTTTCGGTTGATCGTCGTGTACTGTAAGTGTGCGTGAGGGCGCGTCCGACGTTGGATCGACAAAAGGTTTTCACCAGTAGATTCGTCTCGTCGAGGGCTTCGATTTGATATGTAGATCGTCTTCTGGTTCCTCACGGTTTGGAAGATATGCGTCTTTTAATTTTCGACTTGCTTTTAGGGTTTTGGTGGTGGCCGGATTTATTAGGGTTTTTCGCTCAGAGAGTCTTATCGTGCTGATAACGTGTTGTGAAAACTTAGGAACTTTATTAATCACTGGAATGTATATATAGAGTACATAGGAAATCTAGGTTAAGTACAATGCCCTGATGGGCCTAATGGGCCGGTATAAGAGTCCATATATGATATGTGTTATAACAAATTCGAATTTTTTTCCCGTACAGTGTCATGAATGATTGGCCGCTAAATTAACTTTCTCATTTTTTTTTATGAAACCAATTGTCAGCCAATGTACATCAGAAAACGCTGAAGATCTATTGTATGAGGGCCGTGCCTATGCACACAAAAAATAAACATTCGCATACGAGCCAATTTTTAAAAATTAATTTAAAGGTTCAATTTTCTAGTTAAAATTATCAATTATTATATATTATTAGGAAAATACTTGTTTATATAGTATAAATTAACAACTATATAAAACTTAATCTTAAAATATAATAAAATATTAGAACAACACATAACAACTTAAACAATTAAAAAAAAATTATGTCTTATTTTCCTCTTCTTCATTAAAGATTTCTACAACTCACTTCTTCTTCTTACTTATTACATACAACAACCACATAATTAATTGGTATCTGTTAATAGTTAAATATTTTTTTTCAATATTTTTTTCATCTAATATTAGATTTAGTTTGATTTCTGATTTGTATTAAATCTGAAAAAACTCAAATATTTGGTTAATTTATTAATTTTAAGGAAGTATGATTCAAAAGTTTAAATCAAAATAAGTTTCAAACTATAGATATTTATTGTATTTTGTGAATTTAAAAATAATAATGGTAATTATTTATGTATAAATGGTTTTATATAATTTGGAACGATTATAGTTATTATTTTTTTATATGAATCAGATTGGTTTTCTATGAATTTGTGACGATAGTAGTTAATTAAGACTCTTTTTTAACACTGCTTACGGGTTCTGAAACTCTGAGCACGACTCTACTTGTATCGAGATTATAATCAGTGAGTTTATGTACTATACTAATTAGTGAATAATATTTAGTTTTACAAAAAGCTACTTTAATCTAATGTCGTTTTAAATGACAGAAATTTCTTAATTTTCACATTTTTTTTCAGTGATGAAAATTTCTTGACCCCGGGGATCAGAACCTGTAATATAGTTTATTCTAAATATCATTATTGTCTTTGGTATTTTTGTAGTCGAATTAATAACATTTGGTTAGCTTCGATCATTATATTTATAATTTCTCATTATTTCTTCAATTCCACAGATTTTAGAAAGTAATTTACAACTAGGTGTTTAGCCTGCGACTTGCGCGGACCAAAAAGTTTCATTGAAACCTAAAATAAAATTTTATGTCATAAATCAAAAATAATTAGATCAAGAATTTGATACATACAAAATTAAAATAAAGCTAATCTTTGAAAGTAATCATTGTCTAACATTAAAAACTTTAAAATCAATACTAAGAAATCAATAAACACAAACTAAAATAAGATTAATATGAATTATTCATATTTTTTTCTTTTTATCTTTTAATTTTTTTTTCTCTATCATTTTCTTCTTTCTTTTTTTTTTGTTTTTTTTGTTTTTTCTTCTTTATTTTCTATGTCTTTTTTTACTTTTTATTCTACTGGTTTTTCTTTTTCACGTCTTCTTCTTCTTCTCCACATCTTTTCCTTTTTCCTCTCATACATCTTTTGATTTTCTTCTCTTCCAGATTTTATTCCCTTTCATCTTCATATTCTTCTACTTTCTCCAATTCCTCATCTTTTAAGGTTTTCATCTAATTTTTTTTCTTCCCTATCTTCTTCTTCTTCTACTTTGTCTTCTATTTTATTTTATTTTTCTCCTTCAACAGATTCTTATTCCTCTTCTTCCAATTATTCTTACTCTCTCCAAATTCTTTCATCATATTTTAAAGATCTTTGTCTTATCTGTCTTTTTACTCCTCTCATGGTTTATATTTTTCCCTTTTTTAGTTTTTTCCTTATATTTTTTGAGTTCTTTTTTATCGTTATTTGTTTTCAAATTGCTCTTCTTTATTTTCTTCATCTTTTTTTTTACTTTTTATTCATCTGATTTGTCTTCGTTTTTTTATCATATTTACCTTTTTCTACTTTGTCTTCTTCATCTTCTAGTTTTCTTCCATTTTATTATTATTTTCTTTCACTTCCTCTACTATCTAATGGTTTTCTTTTATGACTTCTTCTTCTGATTATATTTTTTCTTCTCCAATTAGTCATTTAATTTTTTTTGTTCACCGTCTTCGACCTATCCGACTATTTTTTTTATCTTACTTGTTCACTGTATTATTTTTGTTCATATTATCGTTTTTTTCTTATTCTTCTCATTTTTCTTTATTTTTTAGCTTTTCTATTTTTTGTTTTATCCTTCTTATCTTTCATTGTTTTTGACTATTTCTTCTTATGTATTGTATTCATCTTCTTTGACTTCTTGATTTTTTTTTCATTTGGTTTTTTCTGTTGATTTTTTTTTTGTTTTATTTGTCTGCCCCTTCTTCTTTGTTTTATTTTTATTGTCTTTGTATTCTCTAAATTCTTATTATTCAACATCATCTATTATTCTTCTTTTGCTTTTATTAGCCGTGTTTATCTTCTGTTTTTTACTTCTTCTTGGTCATTTTTGTCTTATCCAAACTTTTTTTTCTTTCTAATTTTTGTTTGTCTTTTTCGCATCTTTACATTCTTCTTTTTATTTTCTTTTGGATCGTCGGATTTTCATCTTCTTATACTTTATTTTCTTCATCTACTATTTTTGTTCTTCTTTTTCTTTCAGTTTTCTTCTTCAACTTTGAGTTCTTCATCTCCTTATCATTTTTCTTCTTCACTATTTTGTGTTACCCATCTTGATCTTATTGTTCATGGCCTAAGACTTTTTGTTCATTTTTCCCCATTTTTTTACGTTTTCGTCAACTTTATGTTCTTCTACATGTTTCAATTTATCCTTTTTCTACTTCGTTTTTCCCTTTTTCCTTTTTTTCTGTTTTTTCTCTGCACCCTGCTAGAGTATTTGGCCTCTCTTACATTATTCCAAAAATAAACAGAATTCAGAAAGCCATATTTATAACAAACAAAAAAACAAAAGACTTAAAACCTGTTCATTAGACAATGAAGATGATTTATGATATGTTGACATGGTTTTAATCACGTTAAGTAAGGAAGAATAACTGACAACACAAAACAACAACATATAATCGAAGAACACTACTACTGGTACTGAAAAACGGAAAAAACAAAAGAAAAAATCGAATATTGATTTATTAAAAATTAAAGACGGTAAACAAAACAACGAAAAAGCCGACCAATGTAGAAACCAAACCAAAATTGAGCTTAAGATCCATTTTGAAAAGTAATATATTTATATATAGCTCTCAACTGAAGCTAGGATTTCTCATATCACATGTACATTTTTTTTCCAGATAATCTCGCTCAACAGATAATCCGATTGAAATTATCTTAATATTATCAAAATAACTAAAAGTAGCAGCAAAATTGTTATACAAACTATGAAAATAAAGTAATTAATTAAAGATATTTAAAAATATTTTATTAACGAATAAAGGAGAATTAATTACCTAGATTGAATGAGAGACCTCATAGCAAAAATTTTACTTCGCATATATTATATATGATATGATTTTAATTTTTTTTTGATTAAATTCCAATTTTGAATTTTTCGTTATTTTCTATTTGAAATATTTTTTGATTAAATTTCGATTTTTAATAATTTTTATTAATTTTAAATGTTTTTATTAAATTTTGATTTTCAACATTTTTTTATTAATTTACGATTTTTAATATTTTTATTTAATTTACGATTTTTAATAATTTTTTAATTAATTTACGATTTTTAATAAATTTTTTATTAAATTTAATTTTAAACAATATAAAGAGAGATTAATGGTAATTAGCCATCCTGAGATTGAATGAGAGAGGTTTAACTCAAAATTTTACTTTGCTTATAATATATATGATATATGATATGTTTTTAAATGTTTTTTTTTATTAACTTTCAATTTTTAAAATTTCGTTATTTTGTATTTGAAATATGTTTTGATTAAATTTCGATTTTTAATAATTTTTATTAAATTTAAATGCTTTTTTATTAAATTTCGATTTTTAACAATTTTTTTATTAATTTACGATTTTTAATATTTTTATTTAATTTATGATTTTAAATAATTTTATTAATTAATTTACGATTTTTAATAATTTTTTTATTAAATTTAATTTTTAAAAATATAAGGAGGGTAAATAGTAATTAGCCACCCTGAGATTGAATCAGAGAGTTTTAGCTCAAAATTTTACTTTGTTTATAATATAATATATATATATGATTCCACAGTGTTTAGAGAGGAACTTACACTTCCATTCAATTTTTTTGTTAGGTTTTTTAAACAGATTAATAAAAACTTGCCGATGCGAATATTAAACCCCGGTGGTAAACGCTAACTGATTGCTCCCGGCGTTATATCTTCGAAAAATCCCAATGGGCCATAAAAAGCTAACTAAAACCTTATTCTGCTTAAACCCCAATAAGATCTAGAAAGTTCTGTTAGCATCGAGATCTTCCCCAACCCGAGACTTCCATTTTCTCTACCTCTCTCATTTGCAGAAACGTCGGCTTTAAAAACCTCCGCATCCGTTTCTCCGTCGTCCCGTTACAGCTTTCGGAATTACATAGAATAAGCAAAGACTCGTTGAGAAATGGCGAAGCGGTTGATTCCAACTCTTAACCGTGTTTTGGTTGAGAAGATTCTTGCTCCTTCGAAAACTACCTCCGGCATTCTCCTGCCGGAGAAATCTACACAGGTAACTATCGGCGTCGGGTTTACTCACTCTATGGCTATTTTTTGTACCTTATCCGGTGTTCTAGATCATACGACGAGCTTTGATACATCGGAATTTTATTATGAACGCAGCTGAATTCAGGGAAAGTGATAGCCGTCGGGCCAGGAGCGAGAGGCAGAGATGGGAAGACGATTCCAGTTTCGGTGAAGGAAGGAGATACAGTTCTATTGCCTGAGTTCGGTGGTACTCAAGTGAAGCTCGGAGAGAAAGAGTATGTCTATGATCTGTTTGTTGTTGTGATTCCTCAAGCAGGTTCTCTTTTCTTGACTATGTGTGTGACTTTGTGTCCTTTGATTTTTCTGCAGGTTCCTTTTGTACAGGGACGAAGATATCATGGGCACTCTTCACGATTGATCTTGTTTGAGGAAAGAAAGATTGTGTTTTCAGAACTTTAGCTCTCGATTATTAAAACAATTTCAGTTTTATTGATTACTCTCTTCGTTCTCTTTCTATGCTTAGCTTCTGTAAGATCGTACGTTCCCATTTGTCAACAAAGATCAATACTTTTAATGGAAATCTTATCGGAGTCATATGTGTTTATCTTTATGGTCGTTGAAAAATTCAAGAGAGAAAATAAAGGGACGACGAGAGAGAGAAAAGTACTGGTGTTTATAAGATCACAAACTCACAAGCGACTTGTTTTGGCTCTATACATAATACATGAGATGACAACAATGGTAACTAGTTATGTCGGCTGATTATGAGCTCAGTGAAACCGTGGTTTCTCTGAACCAAGAATATGGCAGAAGTTCCACAAGTACCCAATATATTTGGCACTGTGGAGCTACTGAAGAAGCTTGTTGCAAGTTCCAACGCCAATGGCTGCAGCGAGATGCCAACCGGCGTGAATGAATGGTGTTTCAGGGAATAGATCATCAGCTATGAACAAAGCTCCACCCAACAACGAAGACATCTTGTGTACATTATGAGCCGTTCTCAAATCTGGATCCTTTAAGGCTCTCTTCGCGAATGCTACCTGACTCCAAAAGTTAAAGATTTGAGATAGATTGCATAGGCTGAGACTTGGTTACATCGAGGGTAAAGTTGAGAGATTTCTTAGTATACCTCCATCATTCCAGTGTGAACAGCTGAGACCATGAGAGGCTGGAATGGCAAAGCCAAAGCTGATGCAGCCATCAAAAACTTTGGGTTCTCTTCCCTAAGAGCCCTCGATAGACACTGTAAAATATTACTATTAGTCTTGTAAACTGTAGTATTTATGCATGTTAAATGGGTAAAAAGTTAAAGACTTACTACTGTCGCTGTGGCTATCATTGTGTAATCAGCCCATCTAAGGTACTTCCTCAACTTCCCTCTTGAAGAATGATACAAACTCGATGCAATCCCAACTCCGATTAAGGAATTTGCATACACCTTCATGTTCAGGTTTTTCCTATATAAACGCATATTTCTTCCATATTGGTTATCTTTCCAGGGGGGAATGGTACAACTCTTTATGTGAAATCAGACAAACAAGAAAGGGTGATTACCTTGGTGTCTGCATACCGAGGAAAATAAAAGGGAGCGATGTGATCACATTAGCAGCTGTTTCTACGAGACTCTGATCACCTGTCAATGGTATAAAATATCGAGTGAATATCAAAAGATCGAGCACAACTTCCTGTTCTGCAAAGGGAAATGCGGAAACAAGATGAAAAGATCCAAGTAGTATTGATCAGGATACCGTGTATGCAGCAATGGATAGGTCTTAGGCATGGTGGCCTTTGTTGCCAGACACGTCTGCAGAAAATAAAGAGACGGGCACTGAATCAAACATCTAACCTCAGACATGGTCTCAATATATAGCATTGCCAGAGGAGAAAGCTGAGATATTGGGAAACAAATTAGCCTACCAACAAGACCAATCAACTTACTCAATGAATAGACTCTGTTTTGTTCCTGCATCTGAGGATTCAAAGCCGGAGACTTGGCTGATACGCTCAAAGGCGAAAGGTGAATGAGAAACCACATGAACCCCATGGAGACCCTCAAGGGATTTGCTTGTCTTTGATACGCTTTGAGGGCTCATGGGGATTTTTGTTTTATTATTATTTCAAGACCACCACGCAAAATCTCTGCTAGCCAGCAATTACTTGCTGGTCTAGCCTGGCTTTAGCTACTGTTTATTCAGCTGCTCTGATCACAAGAAGAAGCAATTAGAATACATTTATCGTCAGGGACTTAAAAAAATAAATTGGTCTCCTATCAATGATTAACCAATAATCTGATGAGCTAAGTTTCTCATCTTGAAATTATGTTTTGCCAGAGAGGAATTAGTTATGTCACCTAAAATTAGATTGCTCAACTGTGAACATCCAGAATTTTCTCAGTTTTTTTTTTTGTTCTTTTTCAGTTTCATATCAAATCGTAGGGTTAACACGAGCTAAGAGCCAACAGTTACAAGATTTCATAAATTCTGGGTTTCAATTCATCCAAAACTGATCCCGTGAGCATGCACAGAATCAAATTCGAAACCATCTACGCAATACATTTCCAAATCAACAGGTTTGGAACGGATTAGCAATTTCGGTTACCAGCTCTTAACATAATTGTTCCAGAAGAAACAAGAGACAAAGCAAATTCCATAGAATCAAAGTACAGACAGATTTAGCTCAGCGAAAGGAACCGATGGTACAGGAACATGAGAGATTTGAGCAGAGAACAAACCTTGCGACGTTACGTAGCTACACAGAGAGATCGAGGTCGAACCTTGAAGAGATACAGATAAGAAAAGAAAAAGCTCGAAGGAAATGGAGGGGGTAATAATGGTAGTAGCAGAGAGAAGAGTTGGGAAAAGGGGAAGAAGACGAAAGAGAAAATCAAACAGTCAAGAATCTTCTACCTTTGACTCTAATCTAGAAGGGCATATTCTCTTCCTCTTGCTCCAATTCGTCAATTAGTAACAGTCGGCCGCTTTTCGTACCGGATCCCGGTTTAATCCGCTCTTTTCTTTTCTAAGATACGGGCCGAAAATGGGTCGAGCCCAGTTGCTGCTGCTCTACGGGACTGGCAAATTAGATATTTTGGAAGAAGAAATTTATTATACGAAGATATTTTATATGCTAACTAGGTTCTGACAATACGTAAATAACGTAAATTTATTATACGAAGATATTTTACATGCAAACTACGTATAATCGTTTTAATTTATTACAGCTAAAATTAGAAGATTAATATTTTTTTATAGGATGAAGTAAAACGGATGAAGTAATCATCGTCAAATTTCTGAATATGTATATTAATGCTATCTATGCCTAGAGAAGAAAAGAGCTGGAGAGCGACTGGTGTACCGAAATTAAATAAGAACACACATTCTAATGAAATTAATTAAACTTAGGTATAACAAAATGGCGCGCATTGTTCAAAAAAAAAAAAAATGGCGCATTTATATATGAATATCTTCGACCGATACTTATAGCTAGAGAATCTTTGGGACTGCTAAAAAAAGAGTTGCATCATAATTAAGACCGTTATGTGTCGCGATAATACATTTATGCGAGAGTGTTATAGTCAAAATTTAATGTACATATTTAATCTAGTTTACACTATTCCCAAGGAGTTTCTGACGTTGTTGGGTCTTCGTTAGTTTGACAAAACACACCCGGTCTTAAATAATTGTAAGTTTCCGCCATGTCTTCATCTTTATTATGTCGGCCCTCGACGCTTCTACTCTGAAATCAACTTTATCTTGCCCCTTTCTTGACACAATATTTGAACTGTTCTTTCTCTCTGAATCTAAATCATTTCTGGTAGTATTTATGGAGTTATATATACAACAAGCGGGAGAATTAGCAACTGCGTGCATTTCATGTATATATATATATATATATATAAAATGTCCCTAGTTTAGTTTTAGCAAAGTAGTCTCGGCTCTAGGGTCAAGAGCCTAAAATGTTACAACTCCACTACGCGTAGATTATTTGCAGCGGACTTCCGTAACTTTTTTTAATTCCATGGAGCTGCCTTCTCACTTACGATATTAATCTGTGGTGCTAAAATCTAAAAAACAAAACAAAACAAGATAAGACTACGAATTGAACATTTATTGACGTGATTGCGTAGAAACGGAGAACGGTAAAGAAGAGAGGCAGATGAGAGCAATTAAGAAGATGGACAGTGTCACAGCCCTGGCCTGACCACTTCTCTTCTCCATACGTGTATATATATGCTTTATACAAAAAAATAATATTAACTGGTCATTTATTCCCGTCATTTCCTTCATTTACTAGTTTAAATGAAGAGTCAACTATATCTAGTTAAATAGAAAAAATATATTGATAATATGAGTAGATATTGGTTTTTCTCAAAGAGAAAATATTGGTCTTTCAAAAAAAAAATATTGGTCTTTCTCAACAAAAAAGAAAGAGAAATATTGATGATATCAGTGAAGTCAGAGAACTATTACTTTGATCATTTGTTAACTTTTTTTCCATCCACTTCTCACTGAAGTGGAACATTTTTGGAAGAGGTTTTACTTTTTATGTTTTCTTTTATCAGAAATATGTATTTAATTTAATACTTATAAATATTTTATAAATTGTTCCTTTATTATTATTATTATACATGGTTAAACTTTGGTGGATTCCTTAATAAGGAATGGATAATGATTGAATCCGAAGATATATTGTATATAAAGATTCTCTGTGGCATATTCACTCGAGACCATGTTATCCGTATTTATGTTGTAAGCGGTTGCCATGAATATTTCAAAATCTACTTTTTCATACTCAAAACTATTTTAATTTACAAACTATAATGTTGAATTCTCTAACTAAGTTTGTGACGGACTACCTGTTGTACGCTTTGCAGAGATTTGTCAAATAAATAGTGATGATGAGCAGTTGATTTATCTAATCTCTACTTTTGGTAATAGTAATACTACTTTGAGAGAGAACTATTCATACCAACTCAATTGGTAGGGGTAGGTATAGTTGTGAGCAAAAAAAATAAGTAAAAGAATTTGTGAAAGCAGATGCTGAAGAAGGAAAGTAAATATGATTTCTAGCTTCTTGCCTTCTTCTGCACACGCCTTCTTCAATTTCAAACACTAAGATTAACCATATTACCATACCATCTCATTTCTTGAAACATTACAAACCATACGAGAGGGACAACAAAATTACTTTGTAAAAAGTGAAACACAACATCATATAAAACACTACTATAAAAGCCGTTGCACACTTTAGGCTTTGAATCGATGCAACAATCTGCTGGATACCAAATTTCCCTTTTTCATAGAAACGGTCTGCACCAACAAATTTTTTTTTTTGGGTCACAGCTGACCAAAATTTATAAATGGTGAATAAAAAGCGTTTATGTTCGCAAAACGAAAAAATGTGTCACATATGCTACAATCATTCAAAGCCTAATCAATTCGCAATCAGATCTATAAAGAACAGGGTAATTTATATCCTTGATAACAAAAAAGTAGTAATTATGGCTCCTTTTAACTATGATTGGAAAATGAATTGAAGGCAAATAAGAGGTGTGTAATCATTAAATTCATAACACTAACATTAATATAGTACCATATAATCAAACCAAGTCCTACCCTAACAGCTAAAAATGTTTCTATGCTCCAAGAAATACAAAAACAAAAGGATTCAAACTTACAAAATCTATGAAAAACTCTATTTTACACCAAGGTACCTCTGGATCGCGATCGGCGGTCCGCGTTTGCGACTTGCGTTTTGCTTGTAGTCTTGGTGGGGTGGGTGAAAGGGTAATTGACAATTATAGCAACGCGTCAAAAAGTTAGTTGTGGAGAGGATTGGGACCCGTGTGAACTACTCTCTTGTCCTCTCCATAAATGTTACCATCTCTGCTCAATGGCCCACGAAACGGCGTCGTTGCGTACACCAGAGTCTTCCTCGGCGGCGAGGACGTCGAGAAGAAGTGACGACGAGAATCAACAGAAGCTGAAGAAGAGGATAGGCTTATCTGAAACATGACAAAGAGGAAGAAACACATGGTCATCTTCATGTCCCATCTTCTAGTTTTCCTTCCTTGTCTCTCTCTTCGTACCAACACGTGAGTCATTTCAGATATACCAGAAACAGAGGAACATGACAAGAAATCAACAGAGACAGTGGAAGTCAAAGCTCGAGACTTTTTTTTCAAAAGAAGAGAGAGAGGAGAGAATGTGGAGGAGAAGAAGAAGAAGAAGAAAAAAAAAGGGTTTTTTTGGAATTCAACTTTTTGTCTTGTGGGTAAAAATAAGATTTTTGACTTGTTATAGTTGGTTTATTTCCGTGAAGGGTCTTCGGATCCTTCTAAGATCTGCACTGTTCTTTCCTCTAAAAGGCAAAAGCTTTACAAGAATTCTATTTCTCTCTCTCTCTCACTTTCTTTTGTCTCGGAAGTCGTAAGCAAAGAGAGAGTGTGTGTGTGGTCTGTAAAAGAAAGTACGGCAGGCGGTATTAATAACGGCTGTCACCTCTTTGTGTTTATTCGAGGGAAGAGTCTTCGAAAGCACTCTCCTCTTTTTACTCTTTTACCTCCACTTCTCTTTTCTTTTTCTTGTTCGTATACATTACTAGTAATTTCCTAATAATTGTGATTTTGACGTACTTAATAATTGTAATTAAGGTTTTTCTTGGTAATGGAGATGAGTTGTGTTATTGGAGTTATCATGTAGGCCGAGAACACAGACAGACACCCAAAAAAATAAAAATAAAAAAATTATAAAAAGCAGAAATTTGTTAGAGTAAGTTGTCCCACATCGACAACAACTCTGAAAGAAGAATCTGAGATCTCCTATAAATACTGCTCACTCTTATATATCACGCGTGGGCCTTAACAATCAGCCCAGTCAGAGTCTATCAATTTTTTATCAGATGAGATCCAACAAATTAAATTTTATACGGTTCAACCGGTTATTAGTGGGTTTTATCATTAAGTTGGGCGATTAATCGGTTCAAAATCGGTCTCCGATTTGCTTAACCGATTCGGTCCGAATTGCTGGGTTAGGCGTCTGATTTTTTTTTTTTTCCAGTCACTAATTACTTTATTTTTTCAGCAGTAGTAGTAAACATTGGATTGAAGGTCACTTAACTCAAAAAAAGCCCATGAGCTAGAGTAATGAAATGTTAATTTTGAAACGAGCTTGTCTCTTCAAACCCAGATTTGTCACTATACGAACAAGCTCTTCTTCTTCTTCAAGCTACATCGATCGTCATATTAGTGTCATTCTCTGCGATAAAGTTTCGAGCTTAGAATCTCTGCGTAGACACAACGCTCTTACCATCACAGGAGGAAATTCAGACAATATCTTCGTTGCTTCGAAGCTGATTTCATCTTACGCTTCTTACGGGAAACCCAATTTGTCTTCCACAGTCTTTGATTCGGTTAGTCGAAGAGATGTGTTTCTATGGAATTCGATTATCAAAGCACATTTCTCCAATGGAGATTACCCTCGAGCGTTGGGTTTCTTCTTCTCAATGCTGTTGTCTTGCCAATCGCCTGATCATTTCACTGTTCCGATGGTTGTCTCTGCTTGCGCGGAGCTCTCGTGGCTTGGTGTTGGGAGTTTCGTTCACGGATTAGCTCTGAAACACGGTGGTTTTGATCGAAGCTGTGCAGTGGGAGCCTCCTTTGTTTATTTTTACGCCAAGTGTGGGCGTTTAGAAGATGTGTGTCTTGTGTTCGACGAAATGCCTGAGAGAGATGTGGTTGCTTGGACTGCGATTATATCTGGGCATGTGCAGAACGGAGAGAGCGAAAGAGGTTTGAAGTATCTCTGCAAAATGCACAGTGTTGGTTCTGATGGTGAAAAGCCGAATCCCAGGACATTGGAATGTGGATTCCAAGCTTGTGCAAATTTAGCCTCTTTGAAGGAAGGAAGGTGTCTTCATGGACTTTCCGTCAAAAATGGTTTAGATTCTTCCAACATTGTCAAGTCTTCGATTTTTTCGTTGTATTCAAAATCCGAGAATCCAACAGAGGCTTATCTTTCTTTCCGTGATCTCGGTGATAAAGATATGTTTTCATGGACATCGATTATAGCTTCACTGGCGAGATCAGGGAACATGGAGAAAAGTTTTGATATGTTTTGGGAAATGCAGAGAAAGGGAATACAACCAGATGGGGTTGTCATTAGTTGTTTGAGTAATGAGCTGGGTAAGATGATGCGTGTGGCTGAAGGTAAAGCCTTTCACGGATTTATCATAAGGCATTGTTTCACTTTAGACGGTACAGTTTGCGATTCATTGTTGTCTATGTACTGCAAATTCGAGCTTCTGTCGGTGGCTGAGAAGCTTTTCTGTAGTGGAGAAGGAAATAAAGAAGCTTGGAATACAATGGTTAAAGGTTATGGTAAAATGAAATGCAACGTGAAGTGTATCGAGTTATTTAGAAAGATTCAGAATCTTGGAATCGAAGTTGACTCTGCTAGCTTGGCCTCTGTCATATCTTCATGTTCCCACATAGGAGCGGTGCTATTGGGAAAGTCGTTGCATTGCTACGTTGTCAAAACTAGCTTAGATCTTACCACGTCAGTGGTCAATTCCCTCATTGATTTGTATGGAAAGATGGGAGATTTGACTGTTGCTTGGAGGGTGTTTCGTGAAGGACATAAGAACACTGTCACTTGGAACGCAATGATTGCATCTTATGTTCACTGTGAGCAATTCGACAAAGCCATTGAGCTGTTCGATAAAATGATCTCTGAGAGTTTCAAACCCAGCTCAATTACTTTGGTGACTGTGCTTATGGCTTGTGCCAATACTGGATCTCTGGAGAGAGGGCAAAAGATTCATCAGTACATCACTGAAACAGAGCACAGCATGAATCTTTCTCTTACAACTGCTTTGATTGACATGTACGCGAAATGTGGACGGCTTGAAAAGTCACGAGAACTATTTAACGCTGCAAATCAAAAGGATACAGTTTGTTGGAATGTGATGATCACAGGGTACGGAATGCATGGAAATGTTGAATCGGCCTTGGAACTTTTTCAGCAGATGGAAGAGTCTGGTATCAAACCAACCGGGTCTACATTTCTCGCCCTTCTATCAGCTTGCGCGCACGCTGGTTTAGTTGAACAAGGCAAAAACCTTTTTCTCAAGATGCATCAGTACGACGTGAAACCAAACTTAAAGCATTACTCTTGCCTCGTGGACCTTCTTTCTCGGTCTGGTGATTTGCAGGAAGCTGAAACAACAGTCATGTCAATGCCATTCTCACCAGACGGGGTTATATGGGGAACTTTGTTGAGCTCGTGCCTGACTCATGAGGAGTTTGAGATGGGGATACGAATGGCAGAGCGTGCGGTTGCTAGCGATCCGCAGAACGATGGATACTATATAATGCTTGCGAACATGTATAGTGCTGCGGGTAAGTGGGAACAAGCGGAGAGAGCGCGAGAGATGATGAGAGAAAGCGGAGTGGGGAAGAGAGCTGGACATAGTGTAGTCTAGTGTGAATGCCTCATGACCATTATCTTGTTTATTGGGTGGAGAGATTCTTGAAGAATCGATTCCCCAATGGAGAGTCTTGAATGTGAATGCAACAAAACAACTAATAATATAATCTAGCGTAAATGCTAGGCATGGTACCGTATTCGGATACACCAGATTCTTCATCCAAAAGACTGCACTTATATAAGCAGAGCTACACAGACACCAAAGATCAACAACAGAAAAGCGATGGCTCAGATGGCGAAATCCATGATCGAAGTGGAGATCAATGTGTCAGCTGATAAGATTTTCCAAGCTATTAAGGCTACTTCTCGGAGTGTACCGAAACTATCTCCAGAGAAAATACTTAGCGTGGAGGAGCAATTTGGTGGCGACTGTAAAGGCACCAAGAACTGGACTTTGTCTGTTGGTAATAACAAAACAAAACAGAAAAAGTTATTTTGTCTCCCTCTTATAAGTTACTCTCTGTATCAATTATCTTTAATCTGATTTTATGGATTTTGTTACAGATGGAAAAGTGGAGAAGATGAAGGAGAGAGTTGAGATAGATGAGGAGAACAAATCAATGACTGTGTTTGTGTACGATGGAGATGTAATGGAGAATTACAGTAGCTTCACATGCAACCTTCAGATTATACCGAAGCTCCATGGAAGAAGTGTAGCGAGATGGAGTTGGGAATACGAGAAGCTTCACTCAGATTCTCCAGCTCCGAACAAGTATATGGATTTCGCGGTCTATCTCACTAAAGATATTGAGACTAATCTTCTCAAAAAAACATAAGAGGTCTAATTATATTTGCTTTGTTTATAAGTTATATAACAACGGTTGCTTCTCTTTTTGAGACATGTGTGTAATTTGTATCTATTATGTCCTTGAAATTGTTATGATGGGATTGATATTATCGTTCTTATGATGATTTATACAAACAAAAGCAATAGTACTAAGAAGATGTTTTTGTTAGAAAAATGTGTTTGTTTCTATTTCAGTATTTTTGTTTTGTAGTCTGCCAAGTTTGTTTGTAAATTGCAACAACTTCTGTTTTGCATCTCTGCTTATGATAGCACTTTCGAGTATGTATGAAGATGAAATCCAAAATACCCGATTATATAATTTTTTATTTATAACTAATTAGGATTATCTAAAATTATTCAATAAAATGAATAACTTTTTCTTTGAACACCATGTAAATTATATTGTTAGAATGTACTTAGTGAAGACTGTCGCCTCAATTTTTATTGTGTTTATAATTATAATTTATAATCATGTTATTGCTTCAACTAGTCAAATAGTTAGATGTTTAATCTTCCATAAAAATATTTTAAATAAATGGTAAATCCTAAATCTTTCTGCATTTTCCAAACTACCAGAATCTTATCCCATATACTGCGAGTTAAGAGTATAAAATATAAATCGAGTGATGACTTTTAGGTAATCGAATTATCTTTACTCTATTCAATATTTGACTTACCCGACCTTTATCGTTATTGGTACGTATCGGATTAATAATGATAGATACTCGCAATATCCATACCCGCTTGTTACCTTTTATTATTCATTTTATCCCAAAATTCACTTGTCATGGAGACATGGATTTGGTATTAACTATTAAGGTGATAATCCAAATTCACCCTGAACTTATCTAATTTGATGGCATATTAATCAATATCCGATGGTGACATTGACAATACCAAATACTTTTTCAAATTGTCGTCAAGTCACCTGGTAGATATAATTAAGAAATTTGATGGGTTTTGTTTTTTGTCAATCAAAAGCCAATGTATCACAAACATATATGAAAATCAAATTTGTGCAAAAGTTAAGTCCGTCCCCTGCCATTGAAATTCAAATTTGATTTTCGCAAATCTGAACATATTATTGAAAACATTGAGGTAAAACTAACGGTAACGGTCCGTATAAATTCCTCAACTCACTCGAGTTGGATCCTTTTAGTACACTTACATTGCGGGTCACTTGAAAAATAATAAACAACAAGAACTAAATGAAAAATTTCTTTACAATATTTTATCCCTTTACAAATATATATTAAATAATAATATTGGCCAAAAAAATAATAACAATAAGAGTAATAATAATCAAAATACCTTACACTCCCTCTGTTTATTTTTTTTAAGTATTATACAGTTTTTTTTTGCATTTCTGTACTATTTTTCTTTTCATGTTCGTTCCATTTCACAAGAGACAGCGGCCAGATAATCGATCTTTTTCAACCTGCATTTCATATTCATGCTTATCTGTTATTTAAAATGATGAAATAACGTGTATTCCATTTAAATTTTACAAAGATATTATCTTATAAGGTTGACAAAAAAAGATATGAGCTTTCAGGGATTATCTAGAAATATAAAATACCGAATAATATATGTATTTTCAGAATTTTGTATTCAACAGAGTTAGAAATTTTCAAGAAGCTTATTAAAAAAAAGAAAGACAGCGAAATGAATGCAGTGAATCGTGTGATTTGAAAATATTTATATAAATAAAATATCATTTTTTTAATATGGAAAGTCACATCGAAGGCTTGGATTCCAAGCATCTTCAAACAACTCTTCCAAGCTTCGCATTAAGCAATCTAGAAGGAGCGAACATCAATTAGAAAAAAAAAAAACCGAAACATCAATAGTGTATGTATATACAGTGGCGGAACCAGAACATTTTTCTATTGGGGGTAAAACATATTTAATGGAAACATATATGCTATTTAGTGTGGGGGCAACTAGTATTATTGTTACAAATTTACATTAAATATTTTTTTTATTGGGGGCAACTGCCCCCAACTCATTGTATATACCTCTGCCACTATATATATATATATATAATTAGCTCTGTTTCTTACTTATTCCACACTAATGACACGAGTTACGAACTATATTTTATATAGCCTTAGCGTTTACAATTTTTAAAAATAAAGTATAAAAAAATCCAGGCTTGTCAGTTAGCGCCAGATGGGTACTAAGGTGATCACATAGAAGAAAGAACTAATCAAAATAGTATTAGTAAAATTCCAGTCTATTTCTCACTTCACTCATTCCTCTATTAAAAGGGGCTAAAGGAGCTCAGAAGAGAACACATTCACTCTCAAAAACTCAAAACTTTAAGAGAATTGCAAATTAGCGGAATATTAAAGAATGGCGGAAGAAGCATCTAGTTTGGTCGGGATCCTTGAGACAACCGTGGAACTAAAATCTTCAACGGAGAAGTTCCATGACATGTTTGTCGGGAGACCACACCATGTCCCCAATGCATCTCCATCCTACGTTCAAGGCTGTGAGCTACACGAAGGCGAAATGGGCCAAGTTGGTGCCGTCATCGTATGGAATTACGTTCATGGCAAGTAAACTATATTTTCTCTAGATTCTATAAATGCTAATCGAATCTCTATAAAACTCTACCAACCTTTAAGTAAAAAAACCAATCGGAAACGAGTGAATCCTTATGATCTTTTATACTTTTTTTTTTGGTCTCATCTTATTCAATTCTAACAATTCCAAACCTAGCTATAAATGTGTGTAATGTTACATTTTTTTCAGATGGGGAGGCAAAAGTAATAAAAGTGAGGATTGAAGAAGCGGAGCCGGAGAAAAACCAGGTCACGTACAAGGCGTTAGAGGGTGAACTAATGAAAGAGTACAATAGCTTCGTGATCACGTTTCAGGTGACCCCTAAAGAAGGAGAACCTGGAAGTATTGCACATTGGCACTTTGAGTATGAGAAAATCAGCGAGGAGGTGGCACATCCTGAAACTCTCCTCCAGTTCGCCGTGGAAGTCTCCAAAGAGATCGATGAACATCTCCTGTCCGAAGAATAGAGGAAGACTCCTCATGTATCTATTCTATTCTATATATCCATACATATATTTGTGTGCTTGCCTTTAATTTCATCTTTGAGAGTGCAATAAAATAGACTGCGGAGCGCCTTGTCCGAGTTTGTGAGAAAGATATATTCGTGTCATGAGAGTATATATGTAATACTAATTGTTACGTTGGAAGTTGTTACTTTCAAGAAGCTAAGTGTAGCAGCAGCAGCTATGGGGCTACTCGAATTTTATGTATACAATGTTTGTTAATAATAATATCCTATGTTAACATAGTTTGGATTATGATTAAGCCTTCCCTTTTATTGATATGATCTTCGAAGGGAATGTATGGAATGGAAGGAAAGACAATCACCTCAACCAATAGATTTAAGAGAATTGACTGGGATTTTCTTTCTTGTAATACGTTGAGATTTTGATAAATTTACCGAAAACAAAGATTGATCGTCATACTCTTTTCAAAAACATAATTTCCTTTTTTGGATAATCAGATGGTTATTAAAAGTCAACAACTTAATTAAAATTCTAAACATAACCAAACTATATATAAAAAACCTGACAACTCTAAAAATCTACTCTCTCTGTTCAATGTTGTAGATTAATTGTTGTAAATTTAGTCTCTAGATTTTTGCTGTAGAAAGAAACTTAGCATTCAAACCATCAAAAGTTTGCTGTAGAAAAAATAACATGAACAAATACATAAGAATGCATTTACGGGTTATAGAATATATTAGCAAATTAGTGGATCATAAAGCCTGCTCTTTCCACCATTATTAGATTCGAAGATTTTATAAAATTTAAATTTCATACGAATATAAATCTTGTAGATTGATTGATGAAGTAGAATATTTACACTTTTAAATTATCAATTTGACGTTAGATTTATCTGAAGATATATTATATACTTAACGGAAATTCAATGAAATAGTTTCGTAGCACAAAAAAACGAATATCGACATCAACAAAAAAAAAAAAACGAATATCATATTTTATAAAGTGGATATTCCCAAAAACACCATTAACAAATTCTTATGGCCAGTTTATGCTATAATAATTTCCCTGAGAATCATAACGTTATGAGGCCACAGATTTGTACCGTCACTACTCACTAGGTCTGAATCAACGCCTGCAAAACCTTTGGTTATGGCTTTTTGTAAGTATAGTTAAACTAACTTTTTTTCAGATATTTATTCTTGATTTTAAATTAACGTGTCTTCATTGACAAAGTACTGTGATCTCTTACAGATTATTCTAAAATAATTAACAAAGCTACCTGCTGCCAATAATTAAACTATATCGATCTGTGCAGAGACTTAACAACTGCGAAAACGAAAGTAGCGACGTGTATCGTGTGAATGATGAATATATCACTTTTATAAATAATGCAAATAATTCGGCATGTACTAAAAGGATGGGGTTCACATGGCATACAATAAAATCATTTTTTTGGGTCAACGGAATACAACAAATCTTGAGACGATTTTAATTAATAAACTTTGTTTTCTTCAATAGTTACTCAAATCATTACTCTACAAATAGAGGCTAAGAGCTCACAAGGGAACTCACTTCTCTCTCAAACCCCTATACTTTTATCAAGACATATAGGTAGATCAGAGGTAGAAAGAATGGCTGAGCCGTCTAGTTTGGTTGGGAAGCTTGAGACAGAAGTGGAGATCAAAGCTTCCGCTGGACAGTTTCATCACATGTTCGCCGGGAGACCACACCATGTCTCCAAAGCATCTCCAGGCAACATTCAGGGCTGTGATCTGCATGAAGGTGACTGGGGCAAAGTCGGCTCTATCGTCTACTGGAACTACGTTCATGGTAAGTCAATGTTATACCATTTCTCTTTATTTTCTTGCATGTAATCAGTGCCGTGCTTAGAGTATTAGGGGTCTAAGGCAAATGACAAGAAAAATTTTCCATTTTGCTCTAATTATTTCTAAAAAAATATAAGTTGTAAATCAGATTTAAATATTATTTTATAAGATATTATAAATTATTAATGCTTTTTATTAATTTATAATAAATTTTCAACCACAAAAAATAACACAAAAATATATATTAACCAATATACTAATTTTCTTTTTTTTAGATACCAACCAATATACTAAATAAAAATACAAAAATTAGGGGCCCTAAAACTTACTTAATATTAAGGGGTCTTAAGGGCTCTGCATGTAATCATGGGATTCTAAATTAAACTGAAATTTATTACGTCTAATATTTTATATACAAACCCCCTAAATTCTGTAGTGGCAATAGAATAAGTTCTGTGTAGCGTAAATTGATTTTAGACTCCCACTAAAATACTATCACTTACTTTTTACTTTTAATAATGGAAAGATTCCAAACCCAAAGAACACAATTTTTAGAACAAATTGGCACTATATCCAAAAATGGCTACGGTAGAAACAAAACAGACCGCTGTTATAGACCCTCAAGGTCATGAGTCATGACCGTATAATACCATCATCACCTGAATATATCTACCCCACTATAATAAGCTTTTGAGCTAACACTCAAGTTGGTGTTCAAAAAAATAAAATTGACATTCAAGTTATTCTCAAAGTCAAACCAATTTTCAATGAAAAGTATTAAATAATTGGTGCAGATGGGGAGGCAAAGGTGGCCAAGGAGAGGATCGAGGCGGTGGAGCCGGAGAAGAACCTGATCACGTTCAGGGTTATAGAAGGTGATCTGATGAAAGAGTACAAAAGCTTCTTGCTCACCATTCAGGTGACCCCTAAGCATGGTGGGCCAGGGAGTATTGTGCATTGGCACCTTGAGTACGAGAAGATTAGTGACGAGGTTGCTCATCCCGAGACTCTCCTCCAGTTCTGTGTCGAAGTCTCCAAAGAGATCGACGAACATCTCCTGTCCGAGGAATAGAGGAAAGTACTCCTCGTGTGACTATCTTATCCGTACGTGTATGTGTGATTGAAGCATTTCGATTTCAGTCTTTGAAAGCTCAATAAATAATGAGTGTGCTTGATATATATGAGTGACATATAAAATGGAATTCAGGAAGTGCTATATTGTACATGTATGTATTATGTTTTTTTTATTAAGTGTATTATGTTTGTGTGTCTTAATTATAAATCTATAAAAGCATGTGATATATGTTTGGATCAACAACACTTATCTGTCTCCTTTCGTATTTTTGTATCAACAACATACAATATACATGTTTGATTTTAGGTGGTGACACAATAACAGACACTAAGAAAATTACTATAAAGGTTCAAAAAAAAAAAACAAAAATTACTATATAAACATGTTAAATATCATGCTCTCTGCTTTTATATATTTAAGAGCTCTAGGTTTGTATTATATCGTATGGAGATGCACGGAAGCATTCTACCCAAAAATAATGTGTGATAGAGGACATGCATATAGTAGTCTAGATATAATTTCTGAAGATTATTATTTCATCAACAAAGTAAAAGGGGTTCTATATAAGAAGAAAAAGACTAAAGGCAACAGGTTATGAAAATAATAGTGTTCAGTGATAAATTATGTAACAATTACCTTTCATTTATATATTTGTTATATTAGACAAAGTTGTATGTGCTCATTTGGTGGTTTGTATAATAGTGTCGTATTGTGTCCTTTTTTGTTGACACGCCAAAAATTATGTGTGCAATTCGACATTTTTTTCCTTTATATAGGTTTTAGATGCATTTAATACGAACTTAAATATTGATGTAATAACATTGTTTACTATATATTTTTCATTTGCGTATGAATTAACGTGTCTTCATTAACAAACGACATGTTCTCAATCCTCATGAGGATCATGACATCATGTCAAAGTATTTACATATGGAATTTTCAACCGAAATTTTTTCATCTCAAGAATTCTAAGCGTATATATATTATTAATACTACACTCCAATAACAAATATCTCAAAGCGAAAACGACGTGAACCGTGTGATTGAATGATCACTCGATCATTTTTAGGACAACGCAAAGAATAATTAATCCTTATCCTTAACACAAATTCGGCAGGTGGGACAAAATGATGAGGTCGTGATCACAAGGGATACAAAAAAAGCAATTAACACATATTTGTTTTCTTCTACAACCGTTACTTACTCACTCCTCTACAAAAAGAAGAGGCTAAGGAACTCAAAAGGGACTCATCCTCTGTCAAAAACGTTTTAATTCTCAGGGTAAACAAAACATCAAGAGCAAAAAATGGCGACTAGAATGGTTGAGCCTGCAGTGAATCCGACGAAGACAGAGGCGTCTAGTTTAGTTGGGAAGCTTGAGATAGATGTTGACATCAGAGCTTCCGCTGGGAAGTTCCATCACATGTTTGCTGGGAGACCACACCATGTCTCCAAAGCATCTCCAGGCAACATTCAAGGTTGTGATCTGCATGAAGGTGACTGGGGCAAAGTCGGCTCTATCGTCTACTGGAACTATGTTCATGGCAAGTCAAAGTTTTATATATATAAGTATTAATTGATTCTATTAATTCTTATAATAATTAAGAAACTAGCACCGATTCATTTAATTCTTAATTTTTGTCAATTGGTTATGAGTTTGGAAATCTATAAACTTAACAGAACCCATATATATGAAATGTCAAAAATTTACTATGTAATACGACCGTTTGTCTATCATCATTCGATTTAAATACATGCACCTGCCTATATAATATGTTCCAGAACTAATATTGATCATATCGATTCTCAGAGTCAATATGACCCAAACATAAATTAATACATATTTGGTTGGTGCAGATGGGGAGGCAAAAGTGGCAAAAGAAAGGATAGAGGCAGTGGAGCCGGAGAAAAACATGATCACTTTTCGGGTGATAGAGGGAGATTTATTAAAAGAGTATAAGAGCTTTGTGATCACTATCCAAGTGACTCCTAAACAGGGAGGGCCAGGGAGTACAGTGCACTGGCACGTTGAGTATGAGAAAATTGACGAAAAAGTGGCTCACCCAGAGACCTTCCTTGAGTTCTGTGTTCAAGTTTCCAAAGAGATCGATGAACATCTCCTGAACGAGGAATGAGAAGAGTGCTAGCTCTTTAATAGTGTATGATCTATCCCTATATACATGTGCCATGAATCATGCCTGTATTCTAGTAGTAATCTAGTCTATGAAAGTCCAAAAAATAAGGAGCCGTGTGCGATATCGAGATGAGTATTGAGTGATATATGAAAGTACTCTAAATGTGTGTATATGTCAAGTACTTGTTTTTAATAAAAGCTTGTAATATATTTTTGTGGATAAATTAAGGCTCTTCTCTATGCTATCATGTATCGATGAAACCCTCGATTGGTCTCGTATTTTCATATTTTCAAAACGTAATTCAACAGTCTACATACTATTCCTAATATCCTGCACGAAATGGTAAAATTTGATAATTAACAAGTGAATTTTCCTATTTGTTTTGATAGTTTTAAAACTATAATTATTGTAGAGAAGTAGTTTTTTGGAATCCATAGCCGAGAAAAATGTTTGAATCAATATTTAGATAGCCAAAAGACATAGCCAAGAAAAACAATTACGGCATATAATTTAAAAGAATAAAGACATTAATGGTTCGAAAATAGTAGTGTGTAATTTATTGAAGTCACAAAGAGCTATTCTCTTTTTTTGGAACACAGTTGTAATTGCATGTTACCAAAAAAAAAAATGTAATCTATTCTTTTAAAACAGAAGCACATTTAGTGCTTGCATCCAAATACTCCTAAAGTTTTTTTTATAATATTTTATTTTATTTTTATATTTAATTTCTGAAAATTAGTTATTAATTTAGATATTTTTAGATTTTCTAAAATCTAGGTCATTATTAATTTAAATTTCAAATTATTAGAAATTTAATAAAATTTAGTTACAAAAATTTGTATTCAATTTAACTTAAATTCAAAAAATTCAAAAAAAAATTTAATTAAATTTTATTACAAAAATTTAGATAATAATTTTAATACTTTAAATTTTCTTAAATACAGAAGAGATTTAATTTAAAATTTTAAATTTAAATAATATTTTTATAAAAATACATAGTAAATAAATATTTTATCGTATTTTATCATAATCAATTGGTCTAAAATATCAAATATTTGAGATTAATAAATATTTATATTATACAATAATATGATCAAGCTGATTAGAGTTATATATATATATATATATATTTAAGGTCCATGAGTTAATTTATTAAAACATGTAAGATATTAAGATGATTTGAGACAATTAAACTAACAGGTTAGCCAGTTTATATATATATATATATATATATACATTTTTTTAATAGCACAAATAGTAAATAAATATTTTATTATATTTTTTCATAATCAATTGGTCCAAATATTCTATATTAGTAAATATTTATAGGGTTATACAATTATAATTATAGTCTTATACGGGTTAGTTTGTCAAAACATGTAAGATATTAAAAATGATTTAAGATAACTAAACGGATGGATTAGCAAATTCATAGATATATAGATTTTTTATGTGTAAATCTAAATTCACATAATAACAAAGTTTATAATTAATATTAGATCAATGTATACTTAATTAACGTATACTCTTATTCTACTAATATACAAATTTTACTGTTTAAAATTTAAATATGATAACAATTTTTTGATTTAAAAAAATAAATAACAAAAACAAATTATATCTAAACAAAAAAGATAAATGCAACTTATATTAGAAATAAAAAATAAAACATTCTCGTGCAGACGCACGGAGTTAAAATCTAGTTGCTTTTTAATGTTCGAACATATGAGGGGATCATATAGGCTTCTAAGCCCATAATTTTAAGCCATTGGATACTTTCAGTTTTTCCTCAAAAGCTTTCATTTTTATTAATAGAAAAAAATTTGGCTGTCTAGATATTTTATCTTTAGATGGCTAAAATCATATGAAAAATATGATTTTGACCATATGATCAACGAAAAATCAACCAATTCTTGAGATAATTGAGAAGAAAAATTATTTTCTCTATAAAATAGACTAAAAAGCACAAAAAAAAAAATCCAGATACTAATCACCATCTATCTACACAGTCACTCAACACAGGATCAGCAAAAGATTTCTATTTTCATATTGCAAATATGAGATCCCGAACAGCCATTTATCAAGATCTTTGTGACCTGGGCCCGTAATAAGCTGGCCTCTCTCACTCTGTCCCGCAATTAACACAGGTTTCGTTGTCAAGTTTGTTTACACTGGACCTGAGCATTTACTTCTAGGTAACAAATTTCAGTTCCTACCAAACATTTTATCTCCCCAGACGAGTTTAATTAAAAGCGTAGTTTTGTCCTAGGAGTTCTTCTCTGTAATTTTTTTTACGCAATTTAAATAGATAAACAAACTCCACTGAAAAGCAATTACAAATTAAACATAAGCTGAGAAATGAGCGGAGGAGTGGAACGTGTGTTTGTATTTGATACAAGAATCTAATAATATATCTGATTTCGTATCTCGCTAAAAACATTTCTTATCAGTTCTTCTAGTGGAAGAAAGAAAAAGATGCTGAAATGAGCTTTCTTGCCCTGCAAATATGCGAAATGAAGAAGAAAATTTATAATTGTTATTTTTTTTCGTCACCATGTTATTGTGTTTTTATGGAATTGATTGGGATATCTTGCAAAGATCATGACTCCCCATTTTCGTCCGCAATAACACAAACACACGTACATGTAAGACCCACACTGCCACACACGTTTTTCTATATTTCAAAATTAAAACACCCCATAATGTTTGTGTAAATGCAACCACTTATCATTGTCTCCCAATCCCGCCCATATTTTGCAAAGATCATTCTTTGTATTTTTTAGAGTAATTCTATTAAATTCTTATCAAATGACAATATCATGTAGCAAAATTGAATAACACAAACATTTAATAGAATAAAAAATCAATAAATTGTATAACACTAGAATTTAAAGTAATTTAGAAAAATGATTAGAACTACAATCCAATAACACATGAATTTAAAAAAATTCATGACATACAATATTGAATAACAATAGAATTTTATAGAAAGTCTAATTCATTCTAATTCAATTAAATTCTTTGTAAATTGATTAGCGAAAACTTCATCATCAGAAATATCAGTTATAAACAACGCAAATAATTTATGTACTTTTTGGTTAATGATTAATCTCTTTCCGTTTTATAAACAGTATTAGTTTTGATTTTTTTTTTTTACAAAGAGTTTCATTTTATATTTTCAATATAAACTTTAAGACAAGTTTCCTATTTCACCCAAACTTTTTTTTACAATATAAGTTATTAGGATCGGTTCAACGAAAAATTGGGCTCAACTTATTAAAATAAACCCAAATATTATTTGAACCCCAACTTTAAACTCATTCCATCCCAGCGTTGGACATGGTCTTACATATAATTTGTATGATTAAGATTTTTCTTAATTTTCTTTTATAACAAAGGATAATTAGATCCCATCTAACTAATCATTCTAGATGAGTGATGAGTGATGACATTGACTAATCTATACTTCAGATTTTTAAATAAGTTTAAAATGTGACACCATTTTCGATTTGCCAACAGGGAGTGGTTTGATAATTTTACGCTTCCGAGGAATTGATCCATGGGATTAATTTACATAATCAATCATTTTCTTTCATTAATTTAAAATAGAATCAAAAATAGCACTACTTTACGGAGTTGGAATGAGAGTGAGAATGAAGAAGATTTTATATTACGGGAGATAGGGTCATATATGCAAATAGTTGTTTACTTATGTATATTTGGTAATTTACATCTTTTGTATTAGGTTAATCTTCTTGTATATAAGGCTAAGCCTTAGCACCGTAATCAATAAGAAAACCTTTATACCAAATCCTAGGTTTCTTGACATGGTATCAGAGCTTAACCTAAAATTTTAGGCTTAATCGATCCTTGCTTATCGAAATCTACTGTTTGATATCTCTGTTTTCTAAATCCTATCTCTCTTTGACCTTAGTATTTTCGATCCCTTTGTCGAAATACTCTCTTGATTCACGATGACTGATAATAGTCAGGTCGTGCAAACTACTTCTACACCAGTATCGAAGGCTCCAGCTCGTTCTGATACGGAACGTCGACGGATTGATCCTTACGATCTCTCTTCAGGTGATAACCCTGGATCTGTCATATCTACACCACCACTTCGAGGTCCAAATTATGATGAATGGGCGTTGAATCTTCGACTTGCTTTACGTGCGAGAAAGAAGTTTGGTTTTGTCGATGGGTCTATCCCTCAACCTGATGAGGATTCTGGTGATCTTGACGATTGGTGGGCGAATAATGCTATGGTCGTATCTTGGATTAAAAATACGATTGCTCCAGACCTTAGCAGTTCGCTGTCTCACCATGAAATTGCCCAGGATTTATGGACGCACATTCAAAAACGGTTCTCCGTAAAGAATGGTCAACGCGTTCAGCGACTCAAAACAGAGCTCGCTAATTGTCAACAAAAGGGTCTCGCGGTGGAGGCTTACTATGGCAAACTGATAAAGATCTGGACGAGTTTAGCGGATTTTCAACGAGCAAAGACGGCGGATGAAATTGCGCAAGAAAGAGAGGAAGACAAACTCCATCAGTTTTTGATGGGTTTGGACGAAGCTAGCTTTGGAGCAGTGAAGTCTTCATTGTTGTCACGCGACCCTCTCCCCTCTCTCGATGAAGCTTACCAGGTCGTGACTCAAGATGAGGAATCTAAGCGTGCAAGTCGGATGTTGGAGGAACGTAATGATGCGGCGAGTTTTGCAGTTCAAACTCAATCTCGATCACGTCCACACACAGACCTTCGAGATCCCTCTGCTGTCTGCACATTGTGTGGACGGGTCATCTTGCGGCCAATTGTTTCCGCAAAATTGGATATCCGACTTGGTGGAAAGACAGACCTCGTGGGAAGCTTCCTTCGTCACAGGATGGTGCGACAACCACATCGACCCCGCGTCAGACTTCTGCTCCGTCATCAGCTCCTCGGCAACCTGACGTGGCTCGAGCTAATCAAGTGATGGTGGCTGGACCAATTTCCTCTGCTCATTCGGTGATTACTAGTGCTGATCGGATTGGTTTTTCTGGTCTTGATGATCAACAGTGGAAAACTTTGGTCGCCATGCTCAACAGTCGAAACTCGGGTACTCAGGATCATCTCTCCGGTAAGTTTTTTGTTGAATCATGGATTATTGATACTGGTGCTTCTAATCATATGACTGGTAGCATCGATTTTCTGATGGACGTGTGTGATATGTCACCGATTCACATCAAATTACCGGATGGTCGCTTTACTATCTCCACCAAACGTGGGAAAGTTGCTCTTGGGTCTTCAGTACAGTTGCTTAATGTGTTCTTTGTGGATGGGTTACAGTGCCATCTCATCTCTGTCTCTCAGCTAACTCGGGATTGTGGTTGACTATTTCAGATTTCTGATAAACTTTGTGTTGTCCAGGACCGCATCACACAGATGCTGATTGGAGCGGGTGAGCAGTTAAACGGTCTCTATTTTTTCCGGGGAATTGGAGCTGTAGCAGCAACACATGTCTCGGCGAAGCAGTCCATGGATGTGTGGCATAAGCGCTTAGGTCATCCATCCTCGTCGGTGATGGAGATGTTGGTGTTGATTTTAAGACTTGCGATGTTTGTATTCGTGCTAAGCAGACACGCGATTCTAAACTTTGAGTAGTAATAAAACTTCATCTGTTTTTGAACTAGTTCATTGCGACTTATGGGGTCCGTATCGGACAACATCTTTATGTGGATCACGCTATTTCCTCACCATCGTAGATGACTACTCCCGGGCACTTTGGATTTATTTGTTGCCAAATAAAACTGAAACTGCCACTACACTTCGCAACTTCATCTCTCTTGTTGAACGACAATTCGAACGACAAGTAAAAACGATACGTAGTGATAATGGCTCTGAGTTTTTGAGTTTATCTGCGCATTTTCGAGACAAGGGCATTATCCATGAGACGTCTTGTGTTGGGACACCGCAACAGAACGGGAGAGTAGAACGTAAGCATCGTCACATACTTAACGTTGCTCGTGCTCTTCGGTTTCAGGCTAAGCTTCCAGTTGATTTTTGGAGCTTCTGTATCCTCACCGCAGGCTACTTAATTAATCGCACACCATCGGCGGTTCTTAAAGGCAAGTCGCCTTTTGAAATCCTTTATGATCGCTTGCCCCCATTCAACCATTTGAGAGTATTTGGTTGCCTTTGTTATGTCCATAACCAACGTCATTGTGGAGACAAATTCGCGACAAAGGGAAATCGATCAGTTTTTCTTGGATATCCTTTTGGGAAGAAAGGGTGGAAAGTCTATGATTTAGAGAGTGGCATCATATCTACGTCCCGTGATGTTATCTTTGTCGAGACTGAATTTCCCTTCTCCAACCCCGAGTCTCTTGAGGTTCTTCCTTCAGCAATGAGTTCTGGGTCATGGTTTCATGATGATGATGACGTGTTTGCTTTACCTTCTTCGTCATCTTCTCATTCGCCGATTGTTTTGGAACAGGACACTGTTATTGTTTCCCCTCCACCTGCTTTGGAATTAGCTGATACGTCTGCAGTGGTTCCATCTATACCTGCACCGGAAGCTTCATCGTCATCGTCCCCTAGTTCTGATTTGTCGTTGATCACTAAACCTGACGATGATGATGATCATGGTGACCCAACTCCGGTGGTCGAACCTATGGGTAGAGGGTGTCGTACTAAGATTCCTTCGACGCGACTTCAGGGTTTTGTGACCAATACGGTTCATCTCGGGTCTGATAGTGATTGCGTCGATTCCTCTTGGTATCCACTTGCTGACTATGTGGATTGTTCTCGGTTTTCAGATCATCATCGTGCATTTTTAGCTGCTATATCTGCAGGTGAGATACCTCAGACTTGGCAACAAGCGTTCGAATATGAACGGTGGCGTGGTGCAGCTCGCACTGAGATTGATGCTCTTGAGGAAAGTGGGACTTGGACTGTTGAGTCATTACCGCCTGGTAAGAAGGCTTTAGGATGCAAATGGGTCTTTACTATTAAATACCGGGCTGATGGAACGATTGAGAGGTATAAAGCGCGGCTTGTTGTGCTTGGCAATAATCAGACCGAAGGCGTTGACTACGAGGAAACGTTTGCTCCAGTTTGTAAGATGACCACGGTTCGTTCATTTTTGGAGGTTTCTGTTTCACGTGATTGGGAAGTTCATCAGATGGACGTTCACAACGCATTTTTACATGGTGATTTGGACGAAGAGGTGTTTATTCGGTTTCCTCCGGGTTTTCGTACTAATGACAGCACCCAAGTTTGTCGACTTCATAAATCGTTGTACGGTCTCAAACAGGCACCACGGTGTTGGTTTGCTAAACTCTCATCAGCACTTAAAGAGTATGGGTTTGTTCAAGACCTTAAGGACTATTCTCTGTTTACGTTTGAGACTGATGATTTTCGGATACATGTTCTTGTTTATGTCGACGATCTTATTGTCTCGGGAAGTACACCAGCGGTGATTCGAGAGTTTAAGGAGTATCTCAGCTCATGTTTTCGGATGAAAGATTTGGGTGTCCTGAAATACTTCTTGGGCATAGAAGTTGCACGAAGACCGCAAGGGATGTATTTGTGTCAACGTAAATACACATTAGATATCATTTCTGAGGTGGGGTTACTTGGAGCTAAACCAGTTTCACATCCCATCGAGCAGAATCATACTTTGGCTTTGTCTACTAGCAATCTTCTTGCTGATCCACATCCTTATCGCAGATTGGTTGGACGTCTTATTTACCTTCGCGTCACCAGACCGGAACTCTCTTATGCTGTCCACATCTTGTCTCAGTTCATGCATGCTCCACGGATTGAACATTGGAATGCAGCGTTGCGGGTGGTTCGGTATTTAAAGAATAATCCTGGTCAGGGCATTCTTCTTCGAGCTGACTCAGACTTACGCCTCGCGGTTTGGTGCGACTCCGACTGGGCTAGTTGCCCCGTGTCTCGACGTTCTCTCACTGGGTGGTTTATACAACTTGGTGGCTCTCCTATCTCATGGCTTACGCGTAAACATAAGGTGGTTTTCCGTTCTTCGACAGAGGCCGAATATCGAGCTCTCGCGGATACTGTAAGTGAGGTCTTGTGGCTTCGCGAACTTCTTGGTACTCTTGGCGTGGACTGCACTTATACGATTCCTGTGTATTGTGATAGTCAGTCTGCGATTCATTTGAGTGCTAATCCGGTGTTTCACGAACGTACTAAACATGTTGAAGCTGACTGCCATTTCATTCGGGATGAGATTGTGCGAGGTGTTATCTCGACTATACATGTTTCTACTACTGCACAACTTGCTGATATTTTTACGAAAGCTCTTGGACGGAAGGAGTTCGAAGCATTCAGGTCCAAGCTGGGTATTTGTGACCTTCATACTCCAGCTTGAGGGGGGTATTACGGGAGATAGGGTCATATATGCAAATAGTTGTTTACTTATGTATATTTGGTAATTTACATCTTTTGTATTAGGTTAATCTTCTTGTATATAAGGCTAAGTCTTAGCACCGTAATCAATAAAAAACCTTTATACCAAATCCTAGGTTTCTTGACATTTTACTTTAAAATAAAATCTATAGCGAAAATAGTAAAGGTAGAAAAACTTTTACAAAACATAAAAAAAAAATCTTAAAGCTAGAGACACATTTATTTAAAAGAAGGAAAAAGAAGGTAGGCTTTCGGTGGAAACATTAATGAAAATATACATGTTTTATCTTTTCGTTATCGCTCGCTATCGTCAGGTGGGTCAGAATGATTTACTGAGGGTTGTGATAGAGTGATCACAATAAAAATAGTCTTTTACGTCAACAGTTGCTCATTCAATCCTCTACATAAAGGGCAATAGAGTTCCCAAAGGAAACTCACTCATTAGAAAAAAAAAAAAAAAAAAACCTAATTTCCTTGAGAAAACCAAACCAGCAGGAGAGAAAATGGCGGAGGTTGCTACTGAAATTGCAAAGAAAGTGGAGGAAAAGGCGGAGACTCAAGTAACAATGGCACCAACTAAAATGGTCGAGGCTGCTACGGCAAAAGAGGCGGAGACCACCGTGACGGCAGCACCTGCTAAAACGGTCGAGGCTACAAACAAACCGGTGAAAGATGAGGAGGTAAAGACAACAGATACGTCTAGTTTGGTGGGGAAGCTAGAGACAGATGTGGAGATCAAAGCTTCCGCTGAGAAGTTCCATCACATGTTCACCGGGAAACCACACCATGTTTCCAAAGCATCTCCTGGCAACATTCAGGGCTGTGATCTCCACGAAGGCGAATGGGGCAAACCAGGCTCTATCATCTACTGGAACTACGTTCATGGCAAGTTAACATAATTATTATATACATCTTTTTCCTTACATAACCAGGAGATTTCTAATCCAAAAATCAGACAGTTTTTTGGAGCCGTGTGGTCACGAAGCGCCTTTTATTATAATTTTTAAAAATATATGAATGTTTATCCTCAAATGTAAACCTATAAGGCTATAACTATCAAATGTTAAATAATTGGTGCAGATGGTGAGGCAAAGGTGGCGAAGGAGAGGATCGAGGCGGTGGAGCCGGAGAAGAACCTGATCACGTTCAGGGTTATAGAAGGTGATCTGATGAAAGAGTACAAAAGCTTCTTGCTCACCATTCAGGTGACCCCTAAGCATGGTGGGCCAGGGAGTATTGTGCATTGGCACCTTGAGTACGAGAAGATTAGCGAAGAAGTTGCTCATCCCGAGACTCTCCTCCAGTTCTGTGTCGAAGTCTCCAAAGAGATCGACGAACATCTCTTGTCCGAGGAATAGAGAAGTATGTGTGTGTGTGTGTGCGCACGCAGTATATGAATTAAAATGCAATAAAAGGACTAAGGAGTCATGTCCGAGTTTGTGAGATATATCAATATGAGTGTGCCATGAATGTATGTGTCTACGTACTAAGATGTAAGATCGTTACGTTGGAAATTGTTACTTTGAGAAGCGAGGTGTACTAGCCATGATGAGACTAATAATAAGTAAGACTATAAGTTTGATTTTCTATGCTAATAATATCTGTTTTGGATTAACGAACCCAACCCTTATGCTGTCATGATTTTGTGAAGATAAAAACAAGGGCAGTGGAATAGATGAAGGGAATGATTGATGATTGTAGCTAACTAGCTAGCTATAGTTTTATCTTAAGTTAGAATTTTTGCTTTAGCGGTGGTTGTTGTAGATGTACGGTGCATGCATGAAGTGGTTAATTTATAATCAAATTATGATCCACCATGTCATAATAATAGACATGTCATTCTGTAACCATATCTACAATTAACTTTACGTTACTGATGATCATCTAATTAAATGGTTAGATACTTTTATGGGGTTAATGGCTAACTAGTGTTTTTCTTTTTAAAGTTCTATACCGAAGCTTTAAATACATAGACAAAAGATTTGGTGAGCAACTGAGCATTTAAGATAGAGCATAATGGAAAAGATCAATTATATTTAAGATAGAGCATAACGGAGTATTTGTTATTGAAAATTCGTTGAAGCTAGGAATTAATTACACTTAATAAACAAACAAAAGAGAAAGAACATATTGCCACTGGATCCCATTTATAGAAGATGTGATTGAACCAGCAAATTTCTGTACCGGAAAAATCTGTGGTTGAATTTGTCATCCACTGGATTTTATTTACTTTACATCAGTTGGAGTGCGACTATTTTTCTTTCTAAATAACATAATTTTTTTATAAAAACTGAAAAATCAACGAATTAGTTGCTAAGATATTTTCTTGCTAAAAAAGAACGAAAAGGAACAAATTTCGGATGTAAAATTCACTCAGTTCCGTTGAGAAGTCCGGCCATTCTTCCAGTGATTATTTGCGTCACGAGAACCAAATCCTAAAACAATAAGTAAATTGAAATTTAACTTAAGATTAATGAAACTCATATTGTCAATATATATTTGATGCAACTCATACCTGGTTGCCTGTTTTCATTTTCTTTGGTGGGATCTTTACATAAAATGTACATACTACATACATACTATTCACGCTTAAATCGAGATACAATAAGTAGCAGTTCACATTTTGGTTTAATTACATTTTTCGCATTTTAACTAAAGGGTCTTCTTCAAAATTGACTTCCGATGTAATTGTCGAAGTCACTTATATCGAGAAATCTAGCCATCCCACTAGCTTCCAGGAACCTGATCAACCATATACAAATTCACTATCATCAAATGTTTCAAATTGAGAACTAAATTTGCTTTCAATATAATGGTACAGGGCGAGATGGAATTGGTGCAAAGAGGATAGAATAGTGTGAATTTTCTAACAATTTTTACTCTATTCCATTCCGCTTTGCACCAATTCCACCCACACCTTCTCTGATTGGAGTCTTTTATTATTACAATTAAAGAAGAATGGACGTTACTGGTCTCGGAAGAGTCTTGTCATAGAGACACATCCACCAGGAAGCATTGATTGCATATTAACAGCAATGTTGGGGTTGTGAATACTCTGCCTCATGTGCACCCACCCATACTCTTCCCCACTCTCTTCATCCCTCACTTTTGCCCTTGAATTTTTGGATTAGAAATTATTATTAATTGTATTTTATCATATGATATATTTATATATATATATATAGAGAGAGAGAGAGAATCTGTGAACAAATTACCTGTACATGTGAGCATCAATAGCAGATGGATGATCATTTGAATCAACCAAGCATCCTTCACTCACCCAACATTCTCCACATGAGTCTAATTCCCACCCTTTGAGTTTTCCTTCCTAATAACCATTTTTATTTGTTCCACACAATTATTATTCTAAAGTCTATAGCTACAACATTCAGAACGGATTGATTAATTAGTTATAGCTATTGTACCTCGATGTATTGCCTAAATGTCTCAATGGCTTCAATGCCTTTTGCTTTTGCATCTCTTGGCTTTGACAAAATGTTCATCCGCAGCTCAACCGCTTCTAACGGCTCCTCAAGATCTTCTATCAAACCACCTATACCTTCTTTTGATCCGGCTAGTCTCATTCTCACCATTTCAATTATGATCTTCACCACCATGTATGCACCTACAATGTATGTATCCAAGTGTATAGAAAAGAAAACATAAGAAGATC